ATTTGATAACTCTCTATTCTGGTTGCATTATCTACTGCTTATTAATACCCAAAAATCATGATTATTCGGGTACCTTCCTTGTTGTGTTCACTGCAGATTGCAATGAGTCCTAGGGGGTTTAGGGCTTTCATTAAGTAAAGGATCTTTGTGTCATTGTTTAGGCCTAGGGTAATATTGGCATCAATTCCACTTTGAATCTCTCTCTTCTATATCTAACTTCTGGATTGACTGGTATTTTTGATCTAGATTTGTTGATGGAACAAGTCACTTTATTCTTCCAGTCTACTGGTATCCAAAGCTTCTCCTCATTTACTTTAGTGGCCAGCTCGTCCTATGTTGTGATATTTCGTACTCCTGATGAAATGCTTACTTCTTTTAGAGTGTGTTCCTGGTTTGACTCCTCTTCTGCCTGGAATGCATGTTTGGTCAGGAGGGTTCTGTTGTCATTTTCCACTTTTTCCATCTATTCACTTCATGTTCATTCTACCTGAAGGGTTTCAGTCTCTATGTCCATGCTTGCTGTGCCAGCAGTTGTGTTCATTAAGTCTTCCTAGGAGTCTGTTTCCTTGCTATCATAGTTAGGTCCTGCTGCCAAAGTTGTTGGTGTCTTGGTCTGTATGTTGATAGACTTCTTGACATATAGTTGGTTACATAGGGAGGCAATTTTCTTGCTCCTTCTTTCTGCCCTTTGCTACCTTTCTATTCTTTGTTGTTCAAGCTATTAAATCTTGAGGTTTTTAGTATTGAAAGCCATTTTCTTGTTGTCAAGATTACTGTGCCTCAAATGGTTAGGAAAGAGAAGTGTTGATGAATCGTTTGTTCATTCTTAAGAATAGATTGATAGATAGCTTATTTTTAGTAATAAATTCAATCTAGTTGACAACTCCTTTAGTTTAGGTGTAACGAGCTATATTATACATGAAATCTTATCTACCAATCAGAAAAATGATCTTTTTAAAGATTGAGCAAATAAAGAAATTTTTGATAACGAATTGTACTTTAAATACAAAAATATTTTAAAAGATATTATTATCTAGATAAAACTAATCCAAAAAAGTAAACTGTATACCAGTTATATGTCTATCAACATATACTTGCTGGGATTTTGCAAATCTAATAATTGGAAGACCTTAGTAAAAAAAAAAATTGATACTATACCAGAGTATCTAAAATATTTGATACAGGTTAAAGTATATAATGGTTTAATAATCAAATTATTTTAAAAATTGTTTTGAAAAAAATGAAGATAGTATTACATATTTTTCTTCGTTGATTATTATATATAGTAATCACATGATTAAATAATTTTTATTATACTAAAAATAGTCTAACTATGGTTATATAATTAATTTATGTAACAATACTACAATATATAATATATTTCTTATATTAGTATATGAGTTTGAACTGACTAAAATAAAATTCTTTTTTTTTTTAGAATAATAAAATCATTATTTTTTAAAAATATAAATTAAAAATAAAATACCTTTTTTTTTAAATAAAAATCAAAAAAGAAAGATTTTTTAAAAATAGAAATTAAATAAAACAAATTTTTTTAAAAATAAAAATTAAAAAAACCCTTTTTTTAGGATAAAATTAGATTTTTTAAAAATATAAACATTAAAAAATAAAAAATAAAATTAAACTTTTAGAATAAAACCAACAATAAAGTTTTTTTCTTTTAAAATAGAAATTAAAATACAACTTTTTTTACTTAAAATAGAAATTAAAAATAAAACTTTTTTTTTCTTTTAGAATAAAAATTAAAAATAAAACTTTTTTTTTAAAATAAAAAAGAAAAATAAACTTTTTTTTTGGATTAAAAGAAGAAATAAAACTTTTTATTTAAATTGAAAAGAAAAAAATAAACTTTTTTTTAAAAAAATAAAAATTAAACTTTGTTTTTTAAAATATAAAATAAAAATAGAGTTTTTTTTCTTTAAAATAAAAATAAATATTTTTTTCTATTATACAAATAAAAATCAAATTATTTTTGTAAAAAAATAAAAATTAAATTAAACTTTTTTTAAAAAATAAAGTTTTTTTTTTAAAATAACAATTAAAAATAAAAAAATTTTTTTATACAAAACTATTTTTTATATAAAAATATAAAAATTAAACACAATTTTAAAATTTTTTTAAAAAATAAAACTCAAATAACTAAAAATAAGCTATATAAAAAATAATAATAAATTATTTTTTAAATAAATAAAAATTATTTATTTTAAAAATTTTTAAAAAAATAAAACTCAAATAATTAATCTTGAAGTATAGCCCAGACCTTTACACTATTTAAAATTAAACTATATAAAAAATGAAAAATTTTTAATAAAAAACTATTTTTTATAAAAATTAAACCCAATTTTTAAATTTTTAAAAAAAGCAAAATTCAAACAACTAATTCTAAAGTATAGCCCAAGCCTTTATGCTATTTATAATTAAAAAAATAAAAATTTTTTAATAAAAAACTATTTTGTATAAAAATAAACATTTGTAAAAATTAAACACAATATTGAATTTTTTTAAAAAAGTAAACCTCAAATAACTAATTTTGGAGCATAGCCCAGATTTTTATGCTTGTTAATTGTTTAATAAAGTGCAAATATTATAGTTAACCTGATAAAGGGTAAAAAAAAAAAAAAATTATAATAAATATTTTATATTTTTTTTAAATATGATTATTGTAGAATTATAATATAAAATAAAATTGGATTTATTTTACAAATATAAACAAATTCCTTAAAATTTATTATCACTTAAAATTTTCAAAAACATGTATTTAAAGAAACAATTTTATTAAGGATTCTACTATATAAATTTGAAATCAAGCTTTATCATACATGGATGGATTTTTATGAAAGATGCATTTAAAAGACTTTTTTGTAATTTTGGTAATTTATTAATTACAATAGAATTGATTATTTTCAGAAAACAAGTAATTGCATATGGCATAAATAAAAAAGATATAAAGTATATATTCATGTGATATTGATAAATACCTTATATTATTTAAGTTATAGATTCCAATAATTTCAAAAAGATCTTATAATTTTGAACACTTGAAATTTAGTTTGTTATAATCTAAGAAATTCATAAGTATACTTTATCTTGTTAAAATTTTTTTAATCATATTGCAAAACATTACTCAGTTCCATACTCATTGGTACTGATTTTTTTTCCTTTGCTACCAGTCATAACTTCTTACGGATTTTGACCGCGAAAAAGGATGGGGAATACACAAGACCAATGTTGCTATGCCCAGATCAGACGTCAATAGGCTTTGTTAGAGGTCAAAACTAAGATACGATTTTCGTAGAGATTACGTGACCAAAGATTACAACTTGAACGAAGCTATTATCGTTATACCCCTTGCAATGACAAAGGCATAAGGAACAATGAGATGTAAAGTCAAAAGGTGAATAGGGCAAAGCACGATCGAGTGAGATAATTGATCAAATTAAAATGATGTATCTAGTTATTCCTGCATATAGCCATAGGCTATTATGCAGTCTTGTGTTTAGAAGGCAGTCGAGAACTATCTTGAGACTCGCTAAAATTATATCACTCATCCCTACTTCTGGTTCTGTAGTTGAAGGTAGTAGACTCACCTTCAGTTGTAGGTTACGCGAGCATGTTTATCTTTAGCGACGGACTCGCCGTTTAGCCCGCAACAGCACATACAGAATATGTACTGAAATTTCTTGGTAAAAATTTCGGTGGAGCCCATATCACATTTCTTCCGTCGCCTTCGTTAACTTTTATTATTGTCTGAGCGGAGAAAAGGAATACGTTACAGTAGGCCATACTTTAAATAGTATGTTTTGTTCTTACAGTATGTGCACATAACACAAGTGATTTATAGGCAATAACCAATATGATGATGTGCTTTTTCGCAATGTTCAAAAACTCTAGCCCTGTGCAGTTTCTTTCTCCCCCTTCATTATAGTAAGGTCGACCTTTAAAAATCACAACTAAATTATTCTCCATAAATAGGAATCTCGATATCTTTTCTTTTTTTCCCTCTCATCTATTTTATAAAAGTTGATTACATTGAACTCCTTCTTTAGGCTTCCATCTAAGCATCGCAAAAAATTTAATCACTTACGTACTTTGTAAGTCCATCTTCTCTGTGATCTTTGTGAATCGCACGAGTTTATCAATATCCACACGCGAATGGGACGAAAGTCACGAAACCTTATAGGCGCACGCTTGCACAAAAAAGCCCACAATATGTTGCTTGCCACGAGGCGTGGAAGAATATAAGCATCCCGATGCGTACGTTTTTCCACATAAAAGGGTATTGAAACTAGAAGTCCAGTAACTGGACTGGACTTCGTATCCCAACATCCCAGTCTCATTATGGCCTATAACTCCAAAAAAAAAAAAAAAATTACGTATACTGAATCGAGAGGAAGCAGACATTATGCACACGATCTTGATTTCTATTCCAACTTGCTTCATTATGGAAAGGAAGGGAGTAGCGTACAAGAAGATTAGGTGGTATCGAATAATGATACGTCACTCGGTGATCATGGAATGGTAGAACTAAATGTCGCAACTTCCTCGATATATGCTGTACTTCGGGCACGGTAAAGAAAGACATTATAAGTATTGAACACGGGAGAATTTAATAATTTCCGTCTTTTATACGAATGACTTTATTTGAAACATTATTGTGAATAAAGTAAGTTTATAGTATCGAAAATGAGTTACAGTATTACTTCGAAGCTGGTTTGTTGTAGTGTCTTCGTCATCGTTTATGAGAAGTGGTAAAAGATTATTATTATTTAAATATAAATTTACATGCATGTAAATAATAATATTACACATAATATTATACAGTTTTTTTTTTTTTTTTTTTTTTTCTAAGAAAAAATGTTTCAATAAATTGACATTCACAATCCATAACGATTTAATCTATTAAGCTTTTTTTTTTTTTTCAAGTTAAAAAAAAAAAAGCAATACGCAAGTTTACAGGAATGGGTGTGCGAAATCAAAACTTAAGCCTTATTTTCAACGGTGTAATCCGCTTTATCCTCGGAATGATTTGCATCGGTTTTTGGTTTAATAGGTTCTCCTTTAATATCCGAAACAATTCCTTCGAACACGCTGAGGATGCTATTTCTTGATTCGTAAAGCTATTAGTTGAGAATTAAAAACATTAGCGCTAGGTTAACCAGGTGCGCAGAACTTGAAGAAAAACCTTTGTCAAAACATACCGGATATATGGCCACGGCCGTGGTGCTGCAAAGGGCCCAGATAAAGGATAAGGCCACCCAGAATTTGAAGAATTTTGGGGAGAATACGTAGTGCGTAAAATACATTGGTAGCGGCCATATCAAAACCAATATAATCGTCAAGGCAATACTACACGTGACAGCGAATTCGAACGCCTTGCGTAGACGAACAGGATCTGTCTCAATCGGGTCCTGGTAGGTCGCATTATCCACAATTTCGTCGTCGGTAAGAATTTGTAGTTTTGTACGGGTCACCTCGAAATCAAAGTTGTCAGGAGCAATTGTCGACCACACTAGGGTGATTATTAGTGAGAGCATCAACGAGGTCCTAGGTTTTTGCAAGAAAGGTGAATTCGAAATTTCACGTGCACTACATTAAGATAAAATTGAAAAACTTACAGATTACCAGCCAACATGGGATAGTTCGCACCTGTCGAATCAATTGTGATTACACCATAAAGTTTTTTGGCAGTTACTAGCCAAGCCACAATTCCGGCACAAACGCCGATGACCGATGCGCCAATGGCAGCGCTGCGAGTTTGTTTTTTCCAGGTGAGCGTGAAGGCCACGGGAAACACGGCCGGTGAACAAATTATACCCATGAGTAGGTACATGTATCCAAGTGTGATGTTGATATAGTTGAGAATAACCGCAAGAGCACCCATACCGAGACCGAAACCGATAACGGAATAATGCGAATGGACAATTACTTGACTACCCAAGGCCTAATGATAATGAAAACGAAAATTTAAGCTTGAACATGATTTCAAGGAAATCTTCGTTAGCAAAGATTCGATCTTACCCCGGAGTGAATATATGTGCGGTAAATGTCGTACGTGTAGATAGATGAGACGGCGATAAGCTCAGCGGAAGCAGCGGAGCTACAAAATTTTAAATAAGACACACATGATTCATTTAATAAATGCGATATTCCTAACACAAGAAGCCAACGAAAAATTTACACACGTGACAGCCATGAAAACAAGCACCAAGACTGCAAAAGCACCAGCTTTACCCAAGAGGTGAGCGGCAGCCAATGGAAGCACCAAACCAGAAGAAACTTGATCGCTTGATAATGGAGCCAAAGATCCTTCTCCGACCAAGGCAACACCAGCAAGACCCATGGTAGTGGCAAGCGTGAATGGGATGGCAAACCATGATAGACCGCCAATTAAATACGCCTTGACGGTTGATGAAGGACGAGCGGCGATAGCTCTTTGCCAGTATGCGTTGTCAACAAATACAGTGCCAAAATTACCAACAATGTTGATAATTCCAAAAATCAATCCTTGTAAAGAGTCCATTGTGAGGTATGAGCTTTGTGCATTATCTGATAAATTCGTATTGTTCGTTGCTAGCGTTTGGGAAGCTTTGTGTAACAACTCGTACATTTTATCGGGGGAACCAATTTCGGGGGATGTGCAGTAGACGGTGAATAAGAAGGAAAGAATGATTACAAAAATAACGGTGGTGTGTACGTAGTCCGTCAAGAAGGTTGCTTTGATCCCTCCGAAGTGAGTATAAATGAGGACACCAAGAGGAAGCAAGAAGCAGCAGGCGATGGTGTTAACCCCGGTGAGTGCATTCAAAACGGCAGAACCCCCGAGCAACAACATGGCAGTTACGATCACTTTTTTTGAAAAAAAAAGAAAGAAAGAAATACGAGAATTTTTAAGAAATAAAGATCCGAATTTTCGCGCACGCATAATTAGGCTTACTACTTACTATTTGTTGCCAAAGCAAAAACCAAAAATACGATATGGGCGTCCGTTCCATAACGAGCATTCACGATCTCGAGGAAGGTATGCGCGTTTGGAGCTTTTCGCTTGAGTTCTATGGCAAGAATAGCGAAAAGTAAAACCTAATTGTTCGAAAATAGTTTAGCGTGCGTAGAATACGATGCGATCGACATGGATGTAATGATCACGTTTATTTACCTGAATGGTAGCTCCGGATGCATACCAGAATGGTCTGGTAAAGTTGACAATGGGCATAAGAATAATAAATAATAAAGAATCGAGGAAAACACTTTTGAAAAATATTTACCCGGAAACACCATATTCGTATGCAACGGTGGAAGATTGAAGTAACGTAGCGGCCCAAGTCCATGAAGAGACCACGGCGGATGCCACCAGACCAGTTTTTACAGAACGATGAGCGGTCATAAACATTTCACTAGTTTGATATTCTTGAAGATAACGTTTCTGGGCCAAAGTCAACAGTGTCATGACGACTGCGAAGAATGCACCAAATCCAAGTACTATTCATTGTTCAATTAAGAAAAAAAAAGACCAAATCAATTAATTGGAGGATATCACTATCATTATTATTATTATTATTTAGGGATCATTTTCTTCCTAGCGTATCAGAATCGAATCAATTGACTCGACCGAGTTAGAATAATACTCACCAATTCCCCAGCCGACACCTTGACTGAGTACAGTGGAGTCACCCATTCTTCTTTTATGTCAAAGTAATATTAGGGCAGAGACTTAATTATATATTTCGTGGACAAATTTACGTCTTTCGTTAACCGTATATTTGGCATAAACTATACAATTGCAAATTTTCGTTAATTCTATCGTGACATTAACGCATACAATTGCTAAATGGATAAAGCTTCCATCTCCCGGGATTTATATAAAAATCCAGAACTAGATGGCGGGCACCAAGAATTGATAAAATTTCCTCTTAGGTAACGATCATTTTTAGATGATAATGGAATCTTCTTATCTTTGGATTCCGAATGGTATCAATGAAGCATTTTCATGGGTTCTCAATGTTTTTAGAGTGTTCCCCAATTCAGAACACCAGGCCACGAGACTTCAAAGTTTAACAAGCAGTAGATAATGCAACCAGAATAGAGAGTTATCAAATCTAGGTGACAATAAGCTCACACATATGCAAATCAACA